TTTTTCGCTCTTTTCTTTTTTAACATCGCTACTCAAAAGTTTGGCGTGAGTGTGCCAAAGACTTATCATTCGAATATAAAACTCTTTTTACTAGCAATTTTTTTCTCATTTCTTCTATCTTGGTAAAAATATCCTAAAAAAACTGGACTAGTTTGCCGTTCTCACTCGAACAATGACTTCACACCACCGTACAAAGTAATAATTATAGCCTATTGTATACAACACAATTGTAATGGAGTCGTGAAAAGAATTTATTTATGACTCAAATATTTGTAAGTCAGTTGATGTGATTTTTACAGCACTATGTCAAACGTATTTCGTTATTTTGGTTTTGTAGTTCTTAATTGTTCTTCTCAGCAACATCCATTCATCTTCATTATCAAATGGCCAATACCAACCCAAGTTCTGCTCACAATGCGCAGGACTGTTCACTATCACAATATCAAGCGACACTCGTAATTTCAACCGTAATTGCTGCTATTCAAGTCATCATATTTGTCATCGTTCGAAAACAACTCATACAATGTGTCCTAAAAGTCCCTTCCTAAAAGCTTTTTCGTTTTATTCCACTATTGACTTGAGTTCATTGAGTAATTCTTTTTTGGATAATAGAAAAATGCATAAAGTTTTTATTTCTAAAGACAGAATTGGAAAGCATTGTTGAAAGATAAGACGTTCAGTCAAAATACAAAACTTTAGCCTGTTTTGTTTTCTAGAAAAATATTCCATAGCGTTTGGGTTCTTCTATGGGAATCCAACTGGAAAAAACACAGTATTGATAATTCTTCTTTTATATCAAACTTTGTAGAGGTTTTTACGCTGATCATTTTCGTAAAAATGGGTTTTCGAATTTCATTGAATAATAGCGATATTATGGTCATAATACTAAAACTGTAAAATAGCTTAAAATGAGATTTTCTCTAATAAATAAGCGTAAACAGTCGATGTATAGATCTCAAACCAGCTATATTTCTGAGAAATGTGACATAGGAGGTTTTGTGGAGGGAAATTTACTCTGCAAAATCCTTCTGTTGCTTTTTTAGATTCATTCAAATAGAATGAATAAACCTAGATAGCACATTACATACAATATCGTACAAACAGAAGATTTCAGATGTTTTTCATAGGAATAGTGTATGTAATATTTTATCTACATGGTGTCCCATAAGTAGCACTACGATAACAAATCCAAAGATCTTCGTTCCCGTTCAAGCGAATGAGCTGAGTTGTTGATTGATCCTAGAACTTTATTTAAATTTTTTTCATACGAATAAGGTAAACAAACACTCCTATGAAGTATAACTTTTGAACTTACTACAAAAATTTTGTCAGTTATCAAGTAAGAAAAACACATATTAATTGTTTCATAGATAATTTTCAGTTGCCATATAAGGAAACAGCGAGAAGAAATGAAAACAAACTTTAAGAAGAAATCAACATTGATGTAAATGGAGAAAATTTTCCGAACTAATGAATTCAAAGTCTAACGATCACAATAATTAAGTGTGTGATCAAAAATTAATATTTTGCTAATAACTATTCATTGATTTAACGATAGACATTATTTCTAAATTACAAGAAAGGGTGTAGGTGTGGGTGTAGGTGGGGTGTAGGGTGTGAGTCTAGATGGGTGTTAGTGTGAGGCGCTGGTGTGAAATGTGGGCGTGGGTCTCCTGTTCATCTACGTCCAAACCCACACCCACACCCACACCCTAAATCAACCGTAAAACAAATCGACTTACATCTCTTTGATACAGATCAATCTGCTAGTCTCAAGTTGAGCTTTTCAGCAATCGACTTAATCGTAATAAAATGATGTTGAGTTGATGTTTTTATTAAAATATAAGAATAAATAAATGCAGAGTTATTTGCGCCGAGTCGTTTCGTCTTATTTATAAAAATATGGAAACATTCATCAGGGCTGTATTTACAAAATGGAGTGAAAATCAAAAGGAATTGAAAAGATAATTAAAAAGATATTGAAAGATTTTTTTAAAATTAAAATTAGCAGCAAAAGGAGCACAATTGAAAATGCAAGCTGACGAAATAAGACAACTGGACAAATAACAGTTCGAAAAGCATAGTGAAGTCAAGCCAGCATTTGTATAATTGTTGTGCGAAAATCAAACTTTCGTTTAGACATTATAGTTGATATTAACTTGTTTATTGTATAACTCGGCGTCTAATTAGCCGATAAAGCGTTGAGAGAGAACAGGTAGTTGATCCGATGAATATGATCAAGTCTCAAATGTTAATCGAATAAGCATCTTCGAGAATTCAAAAAATTTGAGATATTTCTGTGATACCATTGATTTGCTCTATTGGATTTTTTGTCGAACATAGAAAGTTAGTCAAGAATCGTGCAGACTCAAATCAACAATACCTGTCTAAGTTTTGATACATTCAAACAAATCATTTGTTTAAAAAAAACTTGTTAAAATCCGATTGTGATTCTCTATTGAAATCACCAATGAAAAGCAAAGGAAACAAAAGTACTTCTAAATATTCGAGAGGATTAAGAATAAAACAAACATTTAGCGAATTTTCGCATACTCTCAGATGAATAATTTATTCCAAAAAAAGACGCGTATAAATGAATATCAGGAATGAATGTATCTGAATTAAATGACAGGAGCAAAAAAAAAGAACAATCCCTTTAGTACTTGTAGCATACTGGTTTTGAGTTATTCGTTCATTTCTGTCAAACAAACCACATGCTATCAGCAATCGTTGGATCGAGCACCATCAAGTTTGTTTTGATATGTTCAAGCGTGATATTGTCGGCATTATCATCATCATCGTCACTGACAAATGCATAAATGCGACAGAAATCACAAAGAGAAAAGAATATTCGTTCTTACCTGATCTTGTTGCGATCATAATCGGACTCAAAAGAGCGCGAAGCATAAGCGGCCAAATGAGCATAGTAAACGGGCGCGGGAATCGAGACCGACTTTGAACAACGTACATCGGTGTGACAAAGCTGAAAAAAATATCTTTTATTGTTATTAGAAACCATTTTAGGAATATATATTTACCCAATAGGTCAATTGCTGAATTTCATTGCTGCTAAATTTGATTTCATTCTGAAGAACGTGATAGAGAGCGGGTCGAGAGGTCCCTAGTCTATAGACAGTAAATGTAAATGATATAGAAAAGAAGATATTGACAAAGTTCGAACCCAGAAGCATGTGAACATAAATAAAAATCGAATTGAGAAGGATGGACAATATCTCGATCGATGACAGTGCCTGCTTCAAGATTTATCTTGCTGCCATTTTCGTCAACAAAGAAGCGTGTGTTGTGCCTCTTCTTGACAACGATGAACGTCAGCTTGGGCTGAGGTAGATCGCCATATACCACTAAGATCGAAAAGAATGTTAAATTTAAAAAGCAATATTGGTTCCATTGCTTACCATGACATGCCGTCTTGATCATGTTTACTTCGTAGTCTAATACTTTCTGATATTGCCCATCGTCAACGCCATCACGATAGAAAACTATTTTGTTCGGTAGTCGATCGCCACACGAGCGAGCAAATACTTTCAGTAAGTCGATCACCATCTTATCTAACTCTCTGATAATTTCGACAGAATACTGTCCACTTTTTGGATACTCTACATGAAAAAATCATTTATATGAAGAGGGACAGAGAAAAGGAAGAAGCCTACGTTCGCAAATACGGGCTGCATAAAGAGCACTAGTTGAATCTCGAGAGCCAACTACAGCAGCAATAGACGGATGATCCAGCGAACAAGTCGTATGAGTGACCTGAAAGAAAGACACTTTAGACATTCGTGACAAAGCTGACCTCCTGCTTTGTTCCTAATAACAATATAAGGTAGAGTACTCACATCGGCTCCGAAGAACATAAATAAATCTTCGTCGGATGGATGATTGAGTGCCAATTTAACATTAACAAATCCATTGATTCCACCTAATTTTCCATTAATTTTTTGACTCAAATTTTGAACATCTAAACATATTGACAAGAATGATGAAGAGAATTCGTTTTCTAATGTTTGTTCGTCTTCGAAGACAACTTCAATCTTACGTCTGTTTCTGTTTTTGTGCTCATGTAAATTATTTCGAACTAATAAAGAAGTTATGAGAGCTTTTCAAGCCAGAAATCAGCATTGCTGAACTAGTTTAGCAATGACAATGTATCAAAATGAGTGGTGTCACTTTCACATTTAGAATTTGAAACGATAAATTCTCGATGCTTCATAAAACAATGTCTTTGCTGAAAATTGAACAAAATATGCTAGGGTATAGCAGATCTTATGTGATTGATGTCACTGAAGTCTTATTGAATGCTGTGCTGATTAGTACAAAGATTTCATCATCAATGCTAACTGTTTTGAATTCAATGAAGAAAAATTTATTTCTATTATTCTTTCTATAATTATCGTATCAAGTGAAATCGAATCACTTACACATTTTGAGATCGCTGCTTTGTTTTTGTAGTTCGTGATAAGACACACATTGTGTCACCAAACCTACTCGCCGGTTACCCCATTCTTTAACATGATCATAAATTTCATTGGTGGTATTATTCAAAACTACTATGGCTAATTGCCATCCTTCTTGATGAGCACTTTTCAGGGCGTTTTCTACATCATTCTTTTGATCACCTGTTTTTTTTAAGCTCCAAGTGTGGTAACTTTGCAAGCCCACAATCTTGCAATAACTTTCAGATGTGAAATTAAAGACTTCCGTTATTAATAAACGAATCCGATCAAATGACCTACCTTTGGAAATTGCTGTTGAAAATTCGTCAGAATTGCTTCAGTATTCATGCCAGGTTTCACGCCAAAATAGATCATTCCCCATCGATCAATTCTAGGCGTATTATAGAACCAATTTCGGATTTTCCATTTTCCAAAATTGACTCGTTCAATGACGTCTTGGTACTTATCACCACGATATACAATATCGGGAGCTTGAAGAATGTGAGCTAGAGTTTGACACATGCATAGTGAAAAGAATGGGACAAGAAATTAAAAAATACCTTGAACTTGCATCATATTTGTTGTATCAACATGAATATTTAGCTCTTTGAGATAGAGATCCGTACCAAAATTTCTATCCCCAGCAAGTTTTATAATCTTCTTGTAGCGATCTTCAGGTTTGACGGTAGCCATTTTTGGATTAGCAAGCGGTTTTGAAGAACGTTCCCATTCAGCTAACTGCAATGAAAAAACAGGTGAATGACAAATTAAAAAAATACAATTTCAAGTGGACTTTTCACAAGAAAACTTTATACAATCAAGAAAGAACTTATTCAACTGAATACAAAGTTTCATTCAATGACTCTAAATCATGACACTTACTTTGACGACTTCCATCGGTAACCATGTGTCTTTTTTCGTGGTATCAATGCAGGGCAAATACGGATACTCAAGTTTTTTGTACTTTTCAGGGTGTGGGTGTGCCACGCTGATGATTTCGCCTGAGGATAGATTGCTCGAGTCCTGATCATTACGCTGACGTGGAAATGTAAGTTTAGTGGCAGATTGGCAGAAGCCACGCAAAACATAGCGAACTGTTTGACCCGTGTGTGCTGTTTCAACTATATAAAAAATCCATTAGACAACAACAAAGAAAGATCGAAAAAAACTTGCTTGGCAAATTATGAAAATTTTGTTTCAGATCGCGTAGATTATTTTCGTTCAAGTCCTTCCTGATGTCTTTGCCCAAATATTTGTTAGCAAATTCAATGAAAGGAAGTGGCATATAAAAGCAAGTGAAAGTAAGATTCATGTTGAGTGTGGCTCCAGCTTGTGTCAAAAATAGTGCTTGATAGAAACCTCTGGCCATGCCACGACCATCTTCTGAAATGACGAGCATAAATATACATAGTTGTAGTATTTGTGATTTAGAAAATAAAACTGACTTAAATCATCAAGCTGTTGACGTCCGTCGTAGAATTGATTTCGGATACAGATAAAATCGTTGCGCGCCTGTTGTTTGAAAAGAGTTTCAACAATGCGAATTGCATCATGAGGTCGAATACTTGTTTCGCCATTGATAAACTTTCGTAGATTTTGAAGATTTTCTTGTCGAACAAATCGACGCACGATAAATTCAAATTTCTTCATTTTGTCACCTATCTGGCATGTAGTTAGGATTGGTTCTGTGAAGTGTGACAATGATTTTCGAGTATATAAATTCTTGCCTTCATCGTACCTGAAAAAGAATATTAGTTTGAATGTTTTTTTCAATAATCAAACTCACCAAACGATGGGAAAGTTTTTTTCTTGTTGGACAACTTGATTTAATACTACACAGCGCTCTCGTTTACGTGCTGGTCGCGACTTTTCGTCTTGATCGATGAAGACAATATCAATTTCATAATGATTGACGGTGAGATTATCAAAAGTGACAGGAAAATGATTGGTAAAAACGGTCATAGTTCGTTTAACAGAGCCATAGTCCGGTCGACGAATGGGCTCCAACTCAGCTGAATCGGGTACAGCCGAGTGCAGAGGGCCACAATGATTTTTCGAACGACTACTTTGAGAGCGATTGTTGCGTTGTGCATATGCGGCAGCTGATCTATGTGACGTTGGGAACGCACTAACAGCACGTTGTGTTCGAGATGAAGTTTGAGCCGATCTAGACTTAGTACTGCTCCAGTTGCTCGTTGTTTTTGGCGATTTTGATTCGACTCGTGCTGAAGTAATTAATAAAAATGAATATGAATTTAAATTGCGACGAGAGCCTAGAATGAAATAGCTGATATAGGTGAACTTACCTGTTCGATATCCATGTGCAGCTGGCATCGTATCAATTGCTGACAGATGTATTTCTATAACGAAAACTATCAAAAAATTGCAACGAGAACACTATGGCCACAACTCCTGATCAAGTACCGGGTGTGTGTTTGGTACTTGTCAATTTAAAATGAGGCTCTCCTATATTCTATATGATCAACAAGTAATATTCACCTTCAGATAATAAAATTTGAGATTGTTGGAAATGATCAAAATAGCAGATTATCGATAGTTTATCTATAATGAAAGAAACTCATAAAAGTTTCGATTAATATTCTTTCAATCGAATCGATCAACATAGTTCTTCTTCATATATCACTCAAGAATCGAGTAAGCTGTCATGAGAACAAACCGATTCCAGACACATGTTCTATAAATGGCAACTGTTCTGATTATATTCGTTCTATTTATATGCTAAGAATTCTTGAGTATTTACCCAGTGAGAAAAACGCTTGCTTAATAGTCATAAGAGGAATCAAGTGTTCTTATCGATGACACAAACCATACAGAACAGAGCAGCCAAATATATCACTAATAAAACAAATGATGAAACAGATCTGATAACGATAGTCGATTGCTGTCAAATGCAATAAAAAATGTCGAAGAAAAACACGTCGAAGCAAAAAATGTCGAAAAAAAAATGTCGAAGTAATTTTCGTCGAAGGAGAGAAATGCCGAAGGGAAGAAATG